TGAAAGCAAACAAAGGGATATCAACTAAAAAGAAAAGAAAACATAGTGATTAAAATATTCAAAATTCCACCAAAATGGCAATTCTGATCTCTTTACATCCTGTCACTAAATCAAATTTGGTGACCTGTATTTCACTTCCATCTGCCTTTACTTTGGACCTTCACACAACGCGTCAGTCTGGTGTGACGAGTCGCAATACTGCTGCATAGAAGACTACACTAATCATTGCTAATTTCTCACCTTGCCATAGCAAATTTATGAGTTTACGAGAATTACGGACTTGTTGGTCATCGCACTAAAGAAAAAATTGTGCCAAATGTGCCACTAGAAGTCAGAAGATAATTAATACCGTACTTCTCAATACATTGTTGTCTCACTGTTGTAGGCATTTCCCCACAAGAGCGTGAACAGAGATAGAGTTACCATACTCTTTTCGTTATGTCGCAAGCTACAGATGCAGGTAATAATAGGTTTATTTAATTACATAACTAGTTTACGCGAGTGAGCAAGACAAACCAAATCCTGTTCTGTGACTGGCTAGCAGAGCTGCTTTGAAGGGAATACTGTATTCGGGATTAGCGACCCGTAGTCCCGCAATAAAGTGGTGTTTTATAGTCTCGTTAGACATAAGGATTAATTTATTTACCAAGCTTGTTAAAGTCGAGATGGGTTGACACTGGTCTCGTTCTTTTTCTGCGGGCTTGTTAACTGTACTGTACTGTACTGTACTCAAACCATGTACTGACTATGCAAAACTTACCAAGTGTAACTATCTGAATCTATAAATGTGTGCTATTTAAATACCACTTGTTTCAATCTTTTTGCTTGGGACTGACGAAGAGGTCTGCTATGACTCAATAGTATGTAGTAAGTTAGTTGTCAGGATTGGCCAGAAACCAAATGCAAATGCCAAACCAGCTCAGCAGTGGCCAAGTGAGCATCTTTGTCTCACAACATACTTAAACGAATAAAGTGCAAGTAAAGCATGGAGCTTATTTTTTGGTTTTGTTTTTGTTTGTTTGTTTGTTTGTTATTGTTGTTCACCGTTGTTATTTTTTGGGTTTACACTGGAGAAGATAAACCCAATGTATCCTATTAAATATTCCTTTGTGTTGGAGCTACTGTTTTCCTGCTCTTTGTCGTTTCAAGCTTTTTGTTTTCTTCGTTTAAAGTCATTGCCAAGTTTTACAGGCTGTTGCACCGAGCGTGAGCCTGCTTTTGGTTGTTCGAGTGTCCGGTGTTCATAATATGTTTTGTACTTTTCTCTTCCACAGTTGGATGTCGTCGCATCAAAGATAAATGAAATCACAAAAGGTCTGCTCTGTTTTCTTCAGTGTCACTTCAAGTCACTCTATGACGGAATTTCTATCAGTGTATTTAACAAGCCACTGTGATCGTTGTGACAAGATAAGCTATTTGTCTGAGTGGAGGTCAACACACGCCTTCAAGTTGGCCATTGCCTTGGAATTTGTCATACTAAAGTTAACAGCAAACCAAGTGAAGCGTACCCGTCAAGATTGCATTCATTTAATGAATTGATTATTTGAATATTGAACCAGCTAGTCGTTTCAGGAATGCAATAAGGAATTAATTTTTTGGAATATTGAACCCATTGACCATATTCTTGGAATGACTAGCGGGTTGTTTCAAATAACCAATTGATTAAGGTAATCTTGAGGGGTGCGTTTCTCTTGATTTGACGGTAATACTATAATAGTGTACTACTCTGGAAGTAACAGAAACCAGTAGTAGCTGTAGTAAACAATTGTTTACTCAATTTGTTGCTCTTAGGTGAAAAGCGAAGCGAAGAATCTTGTCAGGAAGACCAGACGGCTTTAGAAGGGCAGGGTCAGTTCTATGACACGGTCAGACAACTGGATTCGTCGCAAGATAACATCATTCTTTCACCTGATGGTGAAACGGACCACACGGAGACTCGTACGTATTCCTCTGCTCTTGATCAACTGGATGCCAAGCCAGGTGAATACGCCGCCCACTTATTAGACGTTGCACAGGCTCGCACAATGAAGAAAGAAGATCTGGCTACTCCAGAAAACAATGTGCCTGCGCTAAGTCAAATAGGACATGAAGACAAATTGGTGTGTTCAAATGATTCTGCTCCGTTGGATCGTGAAGAGCGCGAAATGGTTCCTTCTTCAGCTGAGCAAGTTGACCATGAAGCGGCTGAATCCAACACCCACAAAATTAACCTCGGATTAACTGAAGAGACTTCATTGACTGATCTTGAAGAGGGCAACATCGTGACATCAACTCTAACAGGGAGTAATGAGGGGTCGTCTTCATACTTTGCAGGCAACACGGAATGTAATGAGATTGATGAAGAGCACTCACTCGATAGACTAAAAGATCACGATACCGGCGTAGTAAAGTATTCTTCCCCTGGTGAAGGAGATCTTCAAGGGGAAAGCGAAGTGCTGTCACCTGTTACTCAGGAGGAATCGCGAAACGAAACTGAGGCCATTGCATTTGAGGCTCAAATGGGTCAGGACATGGTGGTACCTGCAGAGTCACCTGCAACTGATGTAGTATCTCTGGAATCTCAACTTACTGGAGAAGTTCCTAGTGGGGATGGATCGGCGGAAGAAACCTTGCATGTGAGCGTACCGGAGATCATTGTGAGTAGCCCAGTCCCCACAGATGATGAAGGTAGCGATGCAGGGTCTACTTTTGAAGGTGATGCGAGCGACGTGCAAAGGGAAGTTGAAGACAGTGAGATGGTGCGGCAGAGCATTGACGACAAGCAATCTGGAGTTGATTCATCCCGGGAGGTGTCAAGCTCTTGTCAAGAAAACAAAGGTCATACATGTGACATAGATACATACACTGATCAAACGAAAGAAAACACTTCCATCAAACAGGAAGGTGGCATCTCTAGAAAATACCTTGAAAATAAGCTCTTGCCTTTTAGAAGCACAGCAGACTTCTCGCCTTCTAAAGAGACAAGTATTAGCGAAAAACCTGGTAAAGATCCGACAGTTACCGACCAATCAGGTTGCACTGTGTCCTCGGAAAGCGTGCATGTACCTAACTTGGGGGAGAGAGCCAGTAGCTTGCTGTCACAGCTCAGGTCAGAAATCGCCAGTATGAAGACAGCTCGACTGAGCAATGCCTCTCCAATCCAAGCTGCTGCTAGCGATGACGATGCTACCGAGATGTCACAGCAACGTGACACGTCTCAACCAGCACCACAAGAGCGTGACTCATCTCAACCAGGACCTGTTCCCGCTGTAACGTATCGTCTTCCATTGTTCGAAGACGTGGACAGCGCATGTTCGTCTTTCTCTCTGGATGACTTTTTGTCCGACCCTGTTACTGAGGAAGCTTTAAATTCCGCTTCAGAAACTAATCATGCACAAGAAGGTGCTGGTGATTATTGATCAGGTCGTGTTTCATGTTGTTCGTTTGCGATCTCCTATCGTAAACTGCTGCTTGTAAGCCCCGCTGCTTACAGGCCCATCTACCTGTAAGCCAAAATATACATCCGGTTATAAGGCCCCCGGATAT